GATGGAGAATTGGGTGGAATGAAGATTGGCAGGGGAAACCGAAGTACTAGGAGAAAACCCGCCCAAACGCCACTTTGTCCACCAAAAATCCCACTTGACCAGACCCCGGGATCGAACCCGGGCCGCCGTGGTGGGAAGCAAGAGACTAACCTCTTGAGCTATGGCGCGGCCACTCCAGAGTTAATTTCAAGGAGGTTCCTTTCGTACAAAGTATTACGCAACAACAGAAGTGGTATGATGGTTAGAATAATCCATCCTGTACAGGCGCCTATACTACAATCTCTCTCTCTCCCTATGGCTATACAGCCCTTTGGACCTTGGCCGATTTCTCAGTCTCATAATCCTACACAGCAGGTAGGACTCCTTGGACGGGGATCAGCTAGTCGCAAGTCCACCACCTGCACATAGAACAAACGAACACAGATATCCATTCTTAGAGTGGGATTCGAACCCAAGATCTTAGTGTTGGTGAAGGCCAAGACGGTTCATACCATAGACCACGCAGCCACTGTGATAGGTGGAGCCGACATAATACTCTAGAAAATCCTGCTCATCGATAACGCTCCAAAACAAATCTAAATTTTTGGTATCATGTACGAAAATTTGTTTGTAGAAGAACAGCATCCTAGTTGTCTTCGCTATCATCGTAATATTATTACATACTTCGCTGTACTTCTGTCGAAACAGCTTCGTAATGAGAAGTCATGACAAGTATGACAAAGTTATGGCAAGCATTAAGCGCCTACTTTCCCTTCAAACGACAGAAAACAAGGCCAACAATTCTTCCATTGTTGTGTGTGAATTCGTTGCCTAGCGACGATAGGGGGACACACGTAGAGATACAGACTGATGAGAGGGATTTATAAAGTATGCCGTTATGATGGGCTGTGGTGCCATTGTACATACCAAGTTTCATAAAGATTGGTTCATGCATTTAAAAATTGATACAGGGGATATACATACAGACAACATGGTAGTGTCACAATCCTACGTTTATTTTTACAAAGTAAGGAAAGCAGGCTAAGATGCAGTTAATATTAATACATAAACATAACAAATGTTAAAACAATTTCGGTTTAATTTATCTTTCCAATGCTTGCTTGTGTCAGATAAATTCTCTCGCCACATAAGGGTGATTCATTTTTTCCACTTCTTAGCAATACGTGTGAGTATATTTGGAAACTGCGGGTGTAACGAGACGATGACGCAAAGAGTGATCCGTAGCTGCCTATCCTAAAATGGCAAAAACTTACTGAGAAATCCACCACTTCAGATTTGAGGACCAGGATTATACATTTCTTTAAAGTTACGTTAGATTATTGGCGATGTACAGTCAATTGCATATCATGGTTTCAGCGACTTTCAGGCGCCTATTTGCGTGAGATACTCTGTAGCATAGTTTCGTATCTCATTTACATATTTATTTCCTGCAGTGCGATATGGGGGAGCTATTTTAATTATATTCTGTCGCTAAGTAAAGTAACTTACTATATTCCTCCACAAAAACAAACACATAGAGAGTAAGTTTGTGTGTCAAAAAGCAAAGCAAAGTGAGGTTTTCTGTATAAAATCCAACCAAATTCGCACTGGAGGGTGGATTTTCGAATGAAATGAAGCGACTGAGGCGCGTGTTCCAATTTCGTCTGGACAATAATATTTCAGTCTGTAAGTTCAATTTCTTATAGCCATCAGAATATGTAATGAATACTTCGTAAGTGTGTAAATTATCAGGTTTAGATATTAAAAGCTGATAAAATTATGCAATGTATAATGTAAATGAGCAATTCAACAGAATATAATAAAAGAAGAAGGAGGAGGAGGAGGAGGAGGAGGAAGAAAAACCGCCCTATCATAAAGGCAAGCCATGTTCATCTCTGCGCCACCAACAATTGTTCCCACGTGTAATGTTCCTCATGAGGGACACCAGGGAACCTCAAAATGTGGATAACTCATACTCAAACTTTGTCAGAATTAACAGTAATCTGATAAGATCGGCTTAGCGGCCTCCGTAGTCTAGGGGTAACGTTACCACCTCATGACTCAAGGTACGCGCGTTCAAACCCGGTGGAGGTCGTGGAATTTTTAAGGGCGGAAAAATTCAGGGAACAAGTCCTCCGGGAGGGACTTTAAGCTGTGGGTCCCGTGTCGTAGATTTACGGCACGTAAAAGGTCCTCATGTCTCTATGAGACCTCTGAGCAAAATTAGGCAAAACGTTTCCCCCCCAAGTAGTTTCCAATGCCTCCAGTAGATGGGGAAGTTATCCGGTACCACTGCCAGAAGAGGGCCGACTTCGCTGGCAGAAAGGGGCGGACAGCGAGCACCAGTACCGGTAAGGTATGGCGACAGTAGAAATTAAAGGGGGACGTACAATAGACTACTAGTCGCGGTGTATGAGGAAAACCACCCCCTCTAATACTGAATACTGAATAAGTTCGGCTTACTTCAACCAAGGTTACTGTAGTGGAGTCACGTAACCATAATAATGCTTAACGTCATTCCATTCACCCACAGCATGTAGAAAAGAGTGTAGCCTGTTGCAAAACAATGTATATTATCATTATAAATATAATTAAAAATCCTGGATTTATATTTTCTTCGAGTTAATCACCTTACGGATTTTGGCTTCCGGCAAGATCCGATTCTGAACTGAGGACTGAAATGTTCGCAATGAACACAAATTCTGACAAACTTCCTTATTAAAGTCTAGTGTTCTGGACAAATTCATTACAGAATTGAACTACGAATACATAATGCCATGTAGCACATTCGGGCTAGGGTACACAGATCTGTAGACCATAAATCTAATTTCTATTCACTTTAAAAGCTGTACTTAAAGTTTTCGATTTACTCCTCTTTTATGGCCGTAACATTATTGGTTTCTGCAAACTCAGACGTAATTAAATTTGGATAGCGAAAAGCGAAGCTCGGGCCAAATTGTAATGATGAAAGATTTGTTGTAAAAGCTCGCCGTCTGTGTCGCTCTGTTTCTAATGGATTCTACAGACCAGAATATGACAAGTTCTAGCCACAGTCGTCACCATCGCACGGCAGTTTACAGCAGCCTTTACTTGTCCTTTCAGTCTTGAGATTCGGAATAAAATGAAGATTTAATAACATGCACATACCGAATTTTAAATTCCTGTAACTAGAAGCCTTACGTCAAGCAAAAGAAAATGTGTGTGAAATTAGCTTCAGAAATAGCAGCCTCCGTAGTCTAGAGGTAACGTTCCCACCTCATGACTCGTGGTACGCGGGTTCAAACCCGGCGGAGGTCGTTGAATTTTTAAGGGCGGAAAAATTCAGGGAACAAGTCCTCCGGGAGGGACTTTAAGCCGTGGGTCGCGTGTCGTAACTTTACGGTACGTAAAAGAACCTCATATCTCCAAAGGAGGTCACTGAACTAAATTCAAGGACATTTCCCGCTCAACAGTAGTCTCTAACGCCTCTGATAGATGGGGGAAGCATTATAGATACCGACAAGCCAGTAGACGCCGAACTCGCTGGCTCGGTCGGGACTAATGGTACGCACCAATATCGGTAGGGTATGGAGACTGGTAGAATATTATAGAGGGAAGCACAATGGACCAATACTGGTCTCAGTGCATGGGGAAACCCACCATCTCCAATAACTAACTAACTAGCTTCAGAAATAATTTATGAACCTTCAATAAAGAACAAAACATTTTCTTCTAAGATTTACTATTTTTTTGCACTGCCCGATTTTCACAAGAAATATATTTTGCTATTTCTTTCAAGAAATTAATAATTTTAAGAAATAATCCTGGTCTTAAATGGACTCCCTGTACTTGACTATGAGCAACAACGACATGTACTTTGAATACACAGTTCAATTATTTAAAATAATTGCACGAGGAACGATTTAGTTGTATGCTCAGAATTGTATGGAATCTATCGACGTTACTTAAATCTGTTCAAGGAGTTGCGACTTATGTAGAAAGGAATCATTCACTTTCTCGTGTTTATATCACGATTAATTTTACTGCAATAATTGTTCTTGGAAACACATTATGGAAATCAGGGAAACCATGAAATTCAATGACTTATTTTTGCTTTGTTCTGCATACTCGGCAGAGGACTTCGCGAGTTTTCGGCGTCAAATGTAGCTGTGATATTATGCAGTGATTACGTGGATCTCTATACTGTGTACAGTAATACCTAGAAATAAGTTAGAAATGATAGTTTACTCATCAGACAAACGTGGAACATAGTGCGGTGTGTACTCTTAACGTGTCTAACATATGCCTACTTGAAACTGAAAGGAATTCTTTTTGTCCAATTATGTTTAGGGAATTGCACAGAAGGTTCAAATCAAAATATCGAGTATATAATACTGTAAAAGCATATACAGACATTTAATTTTTATCACTTGTCACAAGATAATTCTTCCATATTGTCACTATTGCTTCAAATTAATCTTGAGGAATATTGTATTTTTTTTAATGCAACACGCGTACACTTTGAAATATATCAAATTTTCCAGATAAATCTTAATATTCTCAAAATCACTTACATCGCTGCTTGAGGTAGATTTCGGTTTGTGGATGGAGAAATATATTTGATACTTTTCTTTCAATAATTGAATACAATAAAAATGTTAGACAGCTAAGTAACTGAAGATCTTACACTAACGTCTGAGGAAATTTTAAAACATTTTAAATCGTTTAATTAATTTGAGGGAAAACAAAGCATTAAGTGACAAAGAAATATTCCTTATAACTCAACCAATCTTTCATCTAAAAGCCAGGTCTTCTGTCTATAATACACACGGCATCTTCTTCGCGTGAAAATGTCAGTTCGTTGCTAACAGATAAGATATTTCAAAGATATATTTAATTTTGGGTTGGAGGTTGGTGTCTGCTTTGGAATGTAAAAATATAAAACTTACAACTTCATTCTTCAGAGCTACAGATTTTGGATGAAGAGGTGTGACACTAGAAACTTCAGTGTTCATGTAACAAATCAAATGATGTGTACTCACTTGTTGCGCTAACAGCTGGACCGTTTTCCGGTGGGTACTTGTGTTGCGGCGAATTGTTGACTCGCTCAGGTTCTGAAAAATTGCAGTCACATTATAAACATCATGTGTTTAGCAATTATGTATTTCAGCATCCTGTTGCAATTGTTTAATTTAACGTCAATGTATTTATCTTACGTCAATATTGCAACACTTGTTTATTCACTACTTAATCTTGGTCTTAGTTTAAAACTTTTCACTTTGACACAACACGTTTCAACCCCAAACTGCCATCTTCAGGTGCCTTGATATATTATTACAAATTTTATTAAATTAAATTTTAATACGAACTAACACAGTGTAACATTTTTAACATAATTTAATAAAATATTATAAAAATAAAACTTGCACAGCCGGTTTTGAAGAGATCTTCATATGAAGTGGATTTTATCGACCCTGCTAAAAAGAAGGCTACTGGTCCTCTGTGTAATGCAACTCGATGTGCAATATAAAGCGGTGCTTCAGAAATGGGCTTACTTGTTCACGGAGGGCGAGATAACGGAGAGAGATAGCGAGTATACGTGTACATTGCTTGAATGAACCAATGGGCGAGTGGCTTTATGTGTACAGTTTCATTTGCGTGTAAGTGTTCTTCTGAAGCCTTAGTTTAGAGCATGAAATGTAGTTGCACCTATTTGCTCGTTATAGAACTATATTCGGGGCACGCGGTAGCGTAGTTGGTTGAGGGGTTATACTACAAGTCGGAAGGTCGCGGGTTGGAGTCCCGAGGAGGTCATTGGATTTTTTTAATTGACCTAATCCTTCCAGCCGCACTATGGCCCTGGGGTCGACTCAGCCTCTAGCAGAAATGAGTACCAGAAAATAATGAAATAATTTTCCTGGGGAGTAAAGCGCGGCCGGCGTGTAAGGCTGACAACCTTACCGGCATCTTTGAGCCGATTGTCTAGATAATGTGGGACCCTCAACGTCTCAGAACCCTATGGGCCTTCACGGCCTGGTACAAGGATAGCTCCCCCCCCCCTTGGCACTACAGCCCCAGTGGGCCTAGGCCTACCTCCATGAACTTCTCCGTTCACTTCGGTGACTCCTTGGGTGGGGGATCAGCTCGTCGCAAGGCCTCTACCTGTACACAAACACAGAAAAACGCACACAAACATCCATGCCCTGAGTGGGATTCGAACCCACGATCCGGCTTCCGAGCGAGCGAAGACAGTGCACGCCTTAGAACGCTCAGCTACCGTGACAAGGATAGCTTTAGTTTACTTTTTTTTAGAACTATAGTCAGGTACTAGTTCATTAACCGGCCTTGTAGGGCGTAATGCACACGTATAATTAGTAAGTGCAATGTTTTGAAATCCCACTCAGGGCATGGATGTTTAGTTCGTGTGTGTGCGTTTTTCTGTGTTTGTGTACAGGTAGAGGCCTTGCGACGAGCTGATCCCCCACCCAAGGAGTCACCGAAGTGAACGGAGAAGTTCATGGAGGTAGGCCTAGGCCCACTGGGGCTGTAGTGCCAAGGAAAAAAAAATGTTTTGAAAGCTATATTATTGACCTCAGTGGTGTTAATATGAAGTAATGGAATTGTAAGGAACTGAATAATCCTTTACAGTCACAAATTTTATTTTTATTTCTGAACAATAGGATTAGCTCAAAGACTGGCGGTGTTAAGAGACAAGTGTTGAGGAGAATACGTTCCTCTGACAAGAAGTAACAGGTGGACTGAAACAGATATGTGATGAAGTGCTTCATGTCGTGCACTCTTAGCTAAGCAGGACGGAGGTGATCTGTTCAAGTAGTGAGATCGCCTGGCCATGAAATGAGATGCGAACAGATGAGAAGTGTTGCGATTTCAGTGAAACATTAAAGGCTGGCCTAAAATTTGTCATACTAAAACTTCTTTTTGCAACACGAATTCAATTAATGCATGAGACATTAACCCGGGTCCGTAGTGGTGCCGATAAGTCTTTGGCTTTTCCTATTTCACCTATTTTAATGTTTAATAATTTTATCGCATCAAAATTTATCGTTTTGTATATGTCTGACATAAATTTCATAATTGTATCCTTATTATTTAATGTTTGTTGCAGATCTGAAGTGAAAGTGACACAAAACAACGGAGATTTCACCGTAAAAGGGTGCAGAGCGGTGATGAAATATCTTTCCTAAAAGGGAGTTCTGCCCCTCCCCCCCCCAAAGAATACGATGATATATCGGTTACATTAAGTGATAAGTACCCTTCCTACTCCACAGTCAAGAAGTGGGTTGCTATATTTAGGAGAGAACATTTGAGCACTGAAGACGAAGAACATTCTGGAAGACCAACTCAAGCGGCATTTCCAGAAAACGTGAATGCCATTTACTCCAAGATCCTGGACGATTGAGGAATATCAGCTAAAAAGATAACGGTTAAGAATATGAAAGAGGAGTGTCTTATTATGAACACGGTACTCAACATTGGGTTACCATAAAAGATGCGGAATTTTTTGAATAGATGGAATGCTATTATCTACTAAAAGAAAGATTCTTAGCTAATTAGATAAAGCTACCAGTTTCCTCTGTCTCACTAAAGGGGGGGGGCCTCTGAGATTAATGTCACTCAGTGGAATCATCTTCGCGCACTGAGTTCCTGAAAAATTTACAGGCCTACTTTTCGTTCACAGTTTTTTAGAATTCTTCAAAATTCAGCTTCATCCTTTAAGATTTTCACAATCTTTAATTCTCCGCATTTTTATTTGTGTCTGATTCTTTTGTTTTCAGTTGGCAAATTTTCTGTTCTTTACCCTTCATATTATTGAATCTTATGCATCTCATATTCTGTGTCTCGTTCTTCACTACTTCTCTTTGTTCTTTCCCATATATTATTCCTAAACACTCTAACAGGGCTGAATATATAGTGGCCGCGCGGCCTAAGGCATGACTGTCTTCAACCGCTCGGACGCTGGGATCTTGGATTCGAATCCCACTCGAGTCATGGATGTCTGTGTGCGTTTATTCTGTTTGTGTTGTCCTGTGTGTAGGTAGCGGCCTTGTGACGTGCTGATCACCCGTCCAAGGAGTCCTACCGTCTTTGAAAGAAAAAAATGTGAAAAAGAAGAAGAAGCCAGGGCCCAACAAGGGGCTGTAGAGCCATTGATGAATGAGTACACTGACAGCGGATAGTGGGATCCGTTTTGGTGAAAATAGCTTTTATTTTCTCAATTCCTATAAGGTAAGGACGCTTAAGAAAACTGGAAGAAAATGTTCAATGTTTGGCCGGGAAGTTGTGATATCCTTCTAAAACCCTATCAAAAATGAACAGAGGCACGTGACCTTTGAAAAACAAGGATGTCTATAATTGGAGGAGAGTTTGAAATTAAGTTGTAAATGATAGGAAAGGAAGATATGCAGGCCTGTTAACGACCTGCTGAGATACAGAACCTACCAATTAGCATCCATAAATAAAATCGGTAATAATGGGTTTAATTAATTTAATTAGTATGTGGGAAGTGAGAAGATATTTAATTGGCTTGGAGCCGAGGGCTTTTATGAAGACAGGAGTAATTTACTCTCACTCTATTTACGCACTTTGTCCAATACACGTTGTAATGAAAATTCCGTGACAGATATGTGAAATATTCACACAAAGATATTTTTATCATATTCGTTACTAGTGACAGGCCTATTATGCCATGGTGCAGCTTGTAGCGTGTTTTGTTTCTTTTCTCATAACGCAGTTCAGAACAGTTTCCTGTAACAGGCCTTCGACGAGGCGATGAAAATGTTACAACAGAGGAAAAATATGTATTAGACACACTTCACGTGGAACAAGACTTTGGCTCGTTATTTTTAAAATGAAGCTTGTTTATACCTCCAAAACTCCTACAAACAGCAGCTATAAATCCACACTTGCTTACTTCATAACAAAATATACAAATTGTAATATTTTACTTTACAAATTTACATATAAATAAAAAGAATCTATTGCATTCTCGTGAATACTAAGGAAAACAGAATTGAGATTAATATTTATATTATTAATACTTAAAAACTCTTATAATAAAGAGCACTATCTTCTGGGTTATTGCTCCGCGTAGTCCCTTGAAAGTCAAGTGACGTTTCAGAGAACATATAGCCTATATTTTCAAGGTCGAAGAACAAGACGAACAAGATACCAGCGTGAAAACAGGCGGTATCTCTCTCGGCTTATTCTTCGACTCCGAAGTCGGAGACAATATGTTCCTCCGAAACGTCCGTTGACTTTCAGCGAATTACATGGCTTCTTATCCCAGAAGATAGTGCTCTTCATAACCGTCGCTGTGAGATCCTCAGATCATGCTATCATAAACTTTCCTAACCACTAGAAACGAAGGTAGATGATAAAACTGTTAGGCTTTTTGGTGGGGGAATTCGTGTAAAGAGATACTTTGAAGGTTGAGCAGGATCTAGGACAAGAGTATTGAAATACATAAAAAATCCGTGGCTTTATTCCGCAAGCGAACTATACCGACCGAGCTACCGCCGACTGTCGGTGAAGTTAGTGTCAACTTTAGTGGATAGAGGGTGTCGCGTGGTCAGCACAACGACCCCCACGGTCGTCAATTTCGGTGGTCTAGACCGGAGCCGTTACTTTTCCATTCAAGTAGCTCCTTAATTATCCTCACGAGGCTGAGTGGACCCCGTTCCAGACCCACTACTTCTCAGAAAATCTGGTATCGCAGGGAATCGAACCCGGGACCTCTGAATCTGTAGACGGGAACTTTGACCACTAGACCACAGAGGCGGTTTTGAAATGCATCTCAGGTAATAAATAGTACAGGAGGGGGTGGACTTAGTTTATCTGGTTGATTATAGAGGTCAGTGGCGGGATCTTGTGAATACAGTAATGATCTTCCGGGTTCCGCATAATGCAGAGAATTTCATAACTAGCTGAGCAACTATAAGCTCCTCAAGAAGGACTCTGCTCCATAGAGTTAGTTCAGGATGTAAGGGCCGCGCCCTAGCTCAAGCGGTTAGTCACTGGCTTCCCACCGTGGCGGCCCGGGTTCGATCCAGGGTCTGGTCAAGTGGGATTTTTGGTGGACAAAGTGGCGCTGGGG